AATGATTCTATGATTCTATGAATGTGAATGCTGCAACAACATCCCTCTACTGTTGTATTCGCTAGCGATGAAGTAATCTGCTTTCATCTCCACCCCTCTCTGGTCATTGGTAGGTCTGTCATTTTGCTCCTACATAAAAACACCCAGCAACTTCAGATTTTCAAAACTGAGGATTCTCTCACAACCACCTCTTTTCCACCCAAGCAGTCCACTACTTCATGTAGTCTTCTGGACTTTGAACAGATGCTTCTAATTCAGAAAAAAACAGTACAAAAGTTGGGTACATCAAAATGTTTGATTTCATATTCACTAAGAGCCAGACAAAACAACCTTAAACATTTACAAGCACTGACCCTCATTGCTTTGTTATTGCCATGCTATGTGGCTAAGCACTGTTAGTAAACACCATAGCTTAGCAGGAAAAACAGTAAGCTATAATTCTGAGATTCCCAATGCATGTAATGAAATTGCCATCAATTTAAGTTAACACAGATTAGATTTAATCACCAACATACTTACTTTTTCTAACGTTTCAATGCGCTGTTTTAGGAGTCTATTTTCAGTTCGTAACCTCTGGAAGGTAAACAGTTCAGAATTGTATTTCTCAAGTTATGAATTGGAAGTCTGATAAAAGCCAAGCAAGCTAATAACATTTTTATCTCATCACATCTATGAAAATCAATATAAACACAAAAATAATTAGTGACATTTTTAACATCCTTTTATATGATGTATTAACTCAAAAGATGAGTTTAAACAGCTTGATACAGCAAACATGAGACAAAGTCTTGTGTTATACAAAAGCATCTGTGTTGCAATAGCAGAAAGCAGTATGTCTGCAGGTGAACCACAGGGTTTAACCACACATTCAGCTTGACAGCCTTCTCCTCAAACAGAGCCGGACACAGTCTTCATAGTTAAGGGACAAGAAAAGAAGATACTGGACATGGCACTTAATGCCATGGTCTAGCTGACACGGTGGTGTTAGGGCAAAGGTTGGACTTGATGATCCCAGAGGTCTCTTCCAACCAAATCGATTCTGTGATTCTGTGAAAGTGCACTCCCTGCACTAGGACAGGCTAATGATACAGCTACAAGGTTTCCTTCCTTCTCCTTCCAATAATGTATGTTAAGTTATATAATAATAATTATTATTATTATTTAATATGTAAGGTTATACTGAGAATTATTTACCTCAAATGCCCCAGAAGTGAGAAAGAATTGTACAGAATTGCATATTTTACCAGTGCATTTCCTGTAAATTTTAGCAGTCAGCATTCAGATAGAAGACATCTGTATCCTTAAGAACTGAGCCATGGCTACCAGTTCAGTAATGCTTTATTCTGCCAGGCTAAGAGGCACACTCAATGTGCTTGGTCTTCCATCTCCCCAAAATAGCAGAGCTTCTTAGAAGAGAATAAGTCAGAAATGGTTTATATAAGGTCGCAAAGCAGGGCCTAGAAACAGACAGCTTTGGGATGTTGGGTTTGGTTGGCAGGAGGTGTTGTGTGGGTCGGGTTTCTGGGGAAGAAGGAAGCAGGGAAGGATTTGAAATAAGTTAAAATATTGGAATCTAAAGTTACAGTTGACTTTTAAATGCTTTTATTCTGTCCTATTCTGCAGAGAGCTGTCATTTGAGTCCTGCAAATCTTCTGATTTCAGATACAATTACAGCAGTTCCTAATGCTGCTAACTGCCTTGCTGCCTGTTACAAAAACAAAAAAACGCCTGAAAAAGCTTGGAACATCTTAATGCTCCCAGGTGCATGTCACTGAATTTTTCTAAAGAACTGATGCCTTAGAAACTGATATTGAAAGGCACAATGACTAGCAGTGGACAAGAAGAAGGAAGGCTGTACCTCGCTCTCTCTACGAAGATTTATATAGTACACTTGTCCATCATTTTTCCCACTGTCTTTTTCTTATGGAACTGGCTAAAAACATGACATAAGGAAGGAAATCCAGATCAAACACCACACTGTGAAAAAAGTGTGAAAAGGCAAAAAAAAAAGCAGCAAAATCCTATTTATGTCCTAAAAGAAAAAAGATGCAGTGATTAAGTACATACAGAAATTAGGTCAGTTAGTAAAATGGAAACAAACTACACCCGGAGGGTGGCGTTTTTTCTGCGTTATGTATCAATTGCAGAAGCTCCAAAGGAAAAAGCTACTGCAGACAGAAAACACTCAATCTTGGGTCCAGCACATAAGAAAAATCAAGATCTCAAAAATCAATGATAAGCCACTCAAGTGCATTCCAATAAACTCTGTCTTAACATGTGTCTTATAAATGTCCTGTGTGGGACACCTGCATCTAAACTAGCATATTTGGAACCTCTGATAAATTATAAATGCCATCTGAAAATAATGAGAAATAGATACAGCAGGTCTCCATCAAAGATTTTTCTTTAAATGTCCACCAGAAGACTCAATATTTTCAAAATAACTTCCAAAAAATGTCCATTATGAACAGACATCCCAAATACAAATGCTGAAAGAAAAGAATTTGGGGACGTCAATTACATGTCCTGCTACATACACAGATCAAATATGTAAACCCACATCTAGGAATTAAACTGATCCGTAAATAAATTTGTTGAGGCTCTCTTACTTTAATTTCAACTTGTTCTTCCATTTCTTTTGTCTTGATTGTAGTGTATTCCTTTTCCAACCTAAAAATTAAAAATAGTAAATTATGATTAGAAAAATTGCAGATAATTTACTTGTTGGTGTAATACCTAAGAAACAACAGTAGAATAGAGATATAGATTATTGATACTTCCTCTGTTTAAGTGGCCACTTGAAATGCACTCCTGTAAATATTTAGACTGGACATTGAATTTAAACACAGAGACTTCTGTTGATATGAACAGCTGAACCAGCACTCTGAAGAGCAGGTGCTTACTTGTATACCTTTACAGCAGTAACGATTGGGAGCTACTCTGTAATAACCATTCAACCTCATTATACAATAACCAATTCAACAGAAATTCCAAAAGAAAACAGAGCTTGGAAAGCCTGGAAGACAGAAAGATGCAAAGAGATTTGAGACAAATATCTTAAACATATAAAGCAATTTTGGCCTCTCTCCAGCAAACTATGAAATTGTCCCATTTGAAAAAGGTGGCAACAAGAAAAAACAAGCCGAGATAAATAATGCCTCTACAAAAGGCAACCAAGGCAGTTTAGACTTGGAATGGTAGGATACCATGGTAGGAACTACATACACTTATACTGGCTTTCAGAGAAAACATTTTTCCTGAAAGCTTTGTTACTACTTCTGTTTCAGAGAAGACTGCTCACTCTACAGCACTGACCATAGGCTCCGACAGAAGGACTGGCAAATTCAATTGAAAAACCCTCGCACAATCTGCAGCGCAAGAGCAGTGAACGTACAATACACTACAACCAATGGGAGCATCACCAAACTTAACCCTGCAAAAGCACAGTATGTGCAGCTTGGCTTAGCAAAACATAATTTACCAAAGGCAGAAAAGAGAAGACATGCAACTAACCTTAAAAAACCAGTAGTATTATACTCAGGATTTCAAACCCCAAATGAAAGTTATTTTACAATTATCAATGGTATTAGAAAGTTTCATTAATTTATATTTTAAACAGCACTAATCTTGACCATACATGCACTCTTCAGCACTGTGAATACTTTTCCTAAGAACTAAAGTAGGAAGAATTTAGGCTAGATCATAAAGTTTAACTCCTTTGCCTATTTCACTCTCAAAAACCAAACACACACCCATTCCTCCCTGCCCCCCCCAAAAAAACCCACACCCCACACACTGCTTTTTCTATTCAGACCCTGTTTACAGAAGTGCTGTAATTCCCCATAACTTGCAGCTTTCTTCAAAAGTTTTTTAGGTTATTTTTATAAATGAGATATATCTTTGTTGTATTTAAGAAAAATCGCAAATACTGCTTTAGAAGAATTTTCTTGCAGAGAGAACTTCAGTTTTAGCTGTTTATAGTATAAAACACCAAAAAATTTAAAGATGGACATTCAAAATTAAATACGGAATAACTACTTTTAAAGATGAACAAACAGTAGCTCTTAGCAACAGTATAATCTATTTTCTCAAAATGTTATACCTACTTTTTCATCTTTTTTGCATTGTATTTGACTTGGTAAGATGCTTGGATTAATTTGTCTGGACCACTGTCAAACTGATGTGGAATGACCTTTTGAAAGTGCTAAAAGCAATCAGAGCACAAGATTACATATAATTAACAGCTGCAAGGAAATGCACACACACACGCACATTATACATTTCAGACACCTCTTACAATTATTATAACCTTAATTTACCTGTAACATTCCTTCCATGTCAAGTTGCAGTAATTCGGCTTGGTTCATCTGAAGTACTGCTAAACCTACTCGAAATACTATCTCTAAACCCTGAAAACAGAAGTTAAGAAATATCCAACAATTATTCATGGCACTGTCAACAGTACAGAACGATTCTACTGCTTACTAATGTTGGAAATCTTACCCAGTTTCTCAGACAAGCAAAAGGGCTACTGAAAAGTCTCTCGACAAATTGGTTCTGGGTTTCCTATTTTGTCTCAAGGACAAGTAGCCCAGCTATTTGTCCTGATGCCAGACCTTCCCCTCAGAGAGGCTAGTGCTGAGGTAAAAAAAAACTCCTGAGTGACAGGTATGCTCTATGTCAGCTTTATCAAATATTTTAAGTATATCTAGTACAAAAACCCCAGGTACTTCGCAAAAAAGCCATTTTAATTTCAGACATGGTACAATGCAGTTAAACTATTTAAACAGATACAAGAGAACATCTCACTCAGACATTCTTGAGTGTAAACTAAAAAGATCCACCTTTGACTTACTATCTCCTAAAAGATGATTGCAGAGAAAGAGCATAAACGGGCCATAAGCTTTGGTTTGTTACCAGTTACAACCACGCAAAGCTCTAATCATAAGCACAACTTTGGTGTCTTCGTGATAGTGACGCTGAATAATTCCTTAAGTTTCTTTGGTTACTCTGGACAATAAGAGATGCCAACACTCTCTCTTCTTGGCCTGCATAACCCCATGCAGCTCTGACTTTGGCCTGAAAGCAGCATTACTTTCTACACCAAGTTTACTATAATACTGAGAAAATGATGGCCCTCTTGTACACAATGCTATTGCATTGCATCCAGGACTGACAGATCTCGTAACTCTTCAATAGGCTTAGAGTACAAAGTTGCATACAGAATCTACATTCAAAGATTTAGTTGCTCTTCCTTGACAAACTACATACACAGACATCTTCCCCTACAAAATAATCTGATAAGCATAAGGACTAAAAAGCAAGACTATCTGAGATTTGCCCATCGTAATGAGATTTATACCACTACATAAATAACTGCTTTTAACAGCTACTCTTGAAATAGAACATGCGAGTATTGAGTAGTTACCTCAGACATAAAGATATCAAATATTCTCGTTGCAATTGGTAGTGGAAAAGTTGTAAGGAATATAGTTAAAAACCATGACGACGCATACATAGAAGTGTGGAAACTCTGAGACTGAAAGTGCACATAAAGCTCTGGAAGATGCTCCTGGAAAAGAAGAGGAAGGAAAAAAAAATACGTTAAGCTTCTACTGGTAGTTTTATTGTGGTTATGTTTTTGACAAGTTTTGAATAAAAGAAGAAAATAATTGATATTTAGTACAGATAGCAGCTTCATAATACAGAACTAGGGAAGCTATCACTCATCGTTATCAAGAATCATGCAACAGACGTCCCAGTATAGAACGCCCTACAGCACTTCTACCCTGCAAAGCACAGATTACAAAAAACACTTTCTGATCCTAATAGCAAGTCACAAGCCCGTAAATCCCCAAGTCACATCTAAAGTGGGCTACAAAAAAAGAGTTAGAAAGATCTAGGGTATGGACAGAGACCTATGTCTTACTTGCTATGTGACATCCCACCCCAATCATCATGTTAGGAACTGGATCACCAAACACAAACATATCTGTCTATCAGCCTGAAAGTGTTCTATGTCCCAAATCTGGACACAATTTTAATTCTACGTATGAGGGTATCTCCCAGTTCCCATCTTTTAAAATAGCTATAAATTGACCATGAAGACGACTTTCAGAATCTTCAATCCAAACAGAACTAGACATTCATTTGCTTAAACAGTACCAATACAAATCCTCATGCTTCAGTGTTTAAAGCCAGCCACTGTCTGCCAAAGGTTAAAAGAGTAGACCACACAGCCACATGCATTTACTTCTGAAGTTCTGAAACTAGCTGCTGTCAAGAGAACAGCCTATTAGCCAACAGACATGCCTGCTCTTGAATCGTAATTCGCAAGTTCCTTATTAATAGTTACTGAAGAGAAAGTTTGATAGATTTTGTATGTACCTGTATCATGCATTCAAACTGGTACATACAAAGGCCCAGTTCAGCCATGCTTGGTTTAAAGAGTTCTCGTAGTCTGTAATCTTGCATTAATTTAACAAAGACACAGAATGCCTCTTCTTCTGGCATCTACATTAAAAATAAAAAAGCACAGTAAAAACTCTGGACAAGCGTGAGGATATATCAGAGTAAGTGCCTGGGAGCGTTTATGGTTTTTTGTGTGTATGCACACATGGGGTGGGGGTTTTTTGGTTTTGCTTTTCCAGGGGTTTTTCTTTGGTTGTTGGTTTGTTTGCAGGTTTTTTGGTTTGTTTGTGGGTTTTTTGTTTTGTTTTCAAGAGATTTATAACCAATTACTGTAATGAACTTTTGTATACATCGAATTCTATCAAGTGATTTCTAAACTGAAGCAGAGGCCTGCAAGTTTCTTAATAATATACCCTACTTTGTAGGCCAGGTTGGACAAGGCTCTGAGCAACCTGGTCTAGTGGAAGGTGTCCCTGCCCATGGCAGAGGGGTTGGAACTAGATCATCTTTAAGGTCCCTTCCAACTCAAACCATTCTATGATTCCTCATAAAACAAAAGGCAGTAACACAAAGGCAGCTTTAGGATTATCAAATCAACTGTGAAGTTCCATTTGAACTCTGAGGACATTCAGTGTAATAGAACTGCAATGATGAGTTCGTTAATAGTTGAAACAACATTCACTAAAATAGCTTGCAATCCTACCTTAGCTCTGAGAAATGAATGTATTCTCCCACTCAAAGATAGTATCTTCTTGGCAAATAGAACCACAAAGAATAAATCTCATTTGATTTGCAGAGTGAACAGCTGCCCTTGACAATTCCATTGTAACAAAACGATGAAGGAAAACTATTATAAAAACTCCCAATAAACCGTCATGATATATTATGCATTCTAGCGGGGATTTTAAAGGTTCATATATTTTTAATATCATGTTTACCTGCATAAGCAGTAATCCAACTATAAAAGCGCTTCCTTGACAGTATCCAACCTCACGATCCACCAAAGAATAAGCCTGTGAAATAAAGTTTTAAGACTCTCAACAATTAAAACCTCATTATCAATAAAAATTAATCATAGTCCACGCTGTTGTTTTGCTAATAACTTACTCTTCCCCTCCCAAATCCCGCAAGGACAGACATCCTATTCAGAAGTTTTAGTCAGATATTCTGGTTGCTACCTGCTGCTACAAAGGGGTATGAACTCTGCTCTCTGATAGCCTACAAAGCTAAAATTAAGGCATATCTTTAAAAAACAAACAAACAAACATGCAGTTTTCAACTACAAGAATTTGCCAAAAGATAACAGAGACAGCTGGCATACAAACTGCACAAGGTTACTACTTTTACATGAGACAGACCAGACAAAGAAACAATGGTTCTTTTCAGAAAAATTATCTGCTGCAGTTTTATTTACAGGTGGAGGAAATGTGGTGATCTCCATGCACGTCACATCTTCAGTTTAGAGTTCTGGAAGTTACTAGGACTTGGTTACCTGCCAACTTTTTTGTTGAAACTATGTTGTATGGAAAAAAAAAATAATCTGTCTTTCAAAATTTAAGCTCTAGTACAATGAAGATAAAATAATGCAAACTTAATTTTATGGTGGCATTCTCATTTTGTGCTTGGGCACTGTAACAACTGCACATTACCTTGTACCTGCCATTTGCCACTACCACTTGTGGGTTCGGAAACACTTGAAAACTGAATGCTAGTTTTCATTTACAACGTTCTTGTCTTGATCAACATTGTTTAGTTTACTTCATAGCATACTCTATTCCATTATACAATCAGCAGTTAGCATGTGACTTTCTTTTAATGCAAACTTAGTAGGTTTTTTAAATCTCATATAAAGTAAAACCATAATCTATAAGAATACTGTATTTGAAAGCTATCTTTGAAACTGGAATGTAATTTGTTAAACCATTCCACCATCAAGTAGAGTAAGTTTTTTAAACTTAAACACATGAAACTGCTGCAAGTTCACTATATACAAGGCAAATTATTTTCCAGACTTTTGTGCACTTTCTTGCTAATGTATTTTCAAGGGCTGAAATACTGACTTACCTTCATTACATTGAACAAGACCTCCTGTCCAAGGCTGTCTTTTTCTTTAAAAAAATCATGCTCAGGATATGTTCTAGCAATGTCCCTTCTTATTAATTTCTCACAAGGAGATGTCATTTTCAAAAGCTCTGAATACTGATCCTTAATTGGCATGCTTTGAGCACTGCATAAGAGTTGCCAAACAATTGCTCTGAAATGATGAGGTATCCCTTTTCGAACAAGCTCCTAAAGCACAAGACACAAATTCATTTATATTTCCTGAAAATATAAACATAAGCCTAAAGAACAAAACACTTCAAATTAAGTTCCTCACAACTTCAGAACATGTTTATATCATGTCACAAACCAATTATACAGTTTATAATGTGTAAATCTCAATTTTAGTGTGATAAATTGTTAGCTAAAAGTAAGGAGACTGAATCATTTTTAGTGGCTAAATTAGCTAATGAAAGTAGTCCCCTATTCATAGTAAGCTACTAGAAAAACTGAATATTCAAGTAAATTTTAAACAAGAATTCCCATTAGCCCAAATTTAATACAGTTATTTTTATATTTCATAAAAGATGACTGAATGTAACACCCTTAATTATATTTGAAGTGATTGAGATGTAAGAAATAACCAATTAAAAATTATTTCCAAGACACGTAAATGATAAAATGTGGAACTAACTGTAGCACAGACAATTGAAACAACAACAAAAAAATTACTACTATCACAAGTCATTTGACAAACTTGACAAGTTGTGTCTAATTTCTCCGGTGTGCCAGTATTTCCAAGTTCTCTTTTAAGAAAATATTTAAATGTAGTTTCAGACACTGGACTGAGAAAACATTAAGTTTACAACTACTGAATTAACTATATTTACTTTATCTTCCTTAAAAAAAATCATCTAGGTATTATACCATTCAAACCTTCTCAGATCAATAGATCTAAGAACCTGATACTTGTCTTTTCAGAAAGCACAAGCTGCAAGTAGTCTTGTTGCTTGATCTGAAAACTGAGGAAAAAAAGTATGATTCAGAAAGTCTACAGTCTCAGCAGTACTTTCTGCAACTAGGATCAGTCTGACCTAGAAGATTGTCTCTTCAAGACAAGAGAGTTCCTTTAATAATTCTTGTACATTAAGAACTGTTATCAAGTATTCTGTCTCCTAAAGGATTGTTTCTTTCACTAGTGTGTATTCTGAAGTCAGAGTAATTTCCTATTCTGCAAAGCTTCTTGTTTTTCCTGTTTGTTCCAAATACTTCTCCAAACATTCAGATTAATTAATGCAACAACGATAACTTTTAAAGAGATCTTGCTTTCAAGTTTTGTTTTTGTTAAGCTTGAACTCCACTGCAGTAGTTTTGCATCACTGACCTCAATTTTCTAACATCCCCAAGATCTCCAGCCTGCTTCAGAACCATCCTAGTAATGCCACTCCAACTGTTTGTCCCGTTTACAACACAACTATGACACCCTGTGTTATTTCCTAAAAGATTTCCAAGACAGCAACCCTAACACACCAGCTTTCCACACCTGTCTCTAGCTACCATTTGTCAACAACACATTATCAGATTGTAGATCAGTCATCTAAAGCCTCAGGGGCTACTAATAACGAAGAAGTAGCAACTGGTTTCTTGCTTTAAGTTACCATGCACCTGCTTGACAGAGTAACAGGGTTACTCCCGCCAACATTCCTAAGGGAACAGCAGGAAAATGCACCTGCTAAGCAGCACTAAAATGATGTCATTCTACACAGTATTATACACATTGAAAATTAGGACTTAAGTCATCCTTCAGAATCCCTCCATAAACAGGAAGCGAGCTCTGAAGTGGATCAAGAGACATAAGGATAGAACAAATCACCTGTAGGAAGGTATATACACCTATGTCAAACTTAAACAAACTTACCAGACATCTAATAACTTAAGACCAGTTTTACAGCCAAGACAAAAAGATACCTATGCTGCTAAAGTCGTACCTACTGGCATAATCAGGAATTGGGTATGGACGTTCTGGTATTCCATCGTAAATGCAGAATGACACAGTTTAGGCTGACTTTCGACAAACAAAACAAAACCAAAGAAAAAAATATTGAGAATTATTTAACCAAAGGAAAACTCACTAGCAATATAATTAAATATTTACTGAAAGTTAGTCAAATACTCCCCAAATTATACTTGGCCAGCTGTAAAAACAAGTGATACTTGCGACACTTTAAAGTGTTCGAATGCAAGCAGTTCAAATGAATGCTATCCCACCAGATCTACTTATTACTTCTTACTCACTTCTCCTTTCTCTTGCCAGGTTCATGTGGCCTTCTTTTCAAGGCCTTTTGGGAATACCTTTCCAGAAACTGCTTTCCCTATGCAAGGAGGAAGTCTTGAATTCATTTTCTTCCCTTTTTTCCTCTCTCATGTTCTGTCTTCACAACTGCTTCACATAAAAGATACTTTACTTTAGCCCATTGTTCTGCCTTCCCACAACCTATTCATACACGCACATTCCAAACTGCTGAAAAGACCTTGAAATTTGTATTCTGCACATAAAACTACAGACTAGAGCCAAGAAAGAACCAAAGCAGAACGGACCTGCCTACAAACAAGAAAATCCCACGCTGCTGTACTTGCTGCCTCCGAAACATGGATACATTCAAATGCCCTCAATGCTTCTTAGTTTGAATTTAAAGTGTAACTGAATTCCACTACTGTACATGCCCACAACTAAGCCAGACTGGACACACACTGGTCAGAGTTTGTCCGATCCACTCGGAATTTAGAAACTATGTGTTCGTCTGCTTAAGGCCATCCCTGGGGTCAACACACTTGGCATGCACAAAAAACTAAACTCAGAGCCTCATACAGTGGAATTATCAGCTCTTCTAATAAGAATGCTTTAAAAAGACAGTTGGGACAATACTCATAGTATGCAGCTATCAGATGCCCTTAAGCAGGTTTTCAGTAATTCCATTTTAAAAACATGAAGCAAATCTTCCCTATACTCATGGGAATCTCTCATTAGAAGGAGACTGAAAGCTTTAGTATTCAAGACACAGTAAATGCATCTAGTTTTCAATAAGAGACATTTGGAGGGCAAAGCTGTTACCAAAGTCTGGTTACATAGAAAGCACTACAGCTTAGGGATGGAATAGATTCAACTGGAAGCTTCTATGACATATTTGTTTAAAGAAAAAAAAAAAACCAACAGGAAGATAAATCAGTATCACTTATAACACATTACAAATATATCCTAAAAAAATAGTGTCCAATTACTACCTTAACTTGCTTTTCTTTCTTTTTCCGTACATCTTCCCATTCATTCACTATCCTCCCCCACAGGATCCATGCATCTTCTTCAAGATGGCTGAGATTGCTAGAAGCTGATGAACTAGATACAAGAGAAGATCCACTATTTCTTCTTGACCCATTTACTGATCGCAAGGATTTGCTATCTGTTTCCAAGAGTCTGCAAAGAAAACGCACAAAAACCCAATTCAAGTTCTTCTAATCACATGCTATTAATTGTTTCCTTAGAAGGCAGTTCTTCCAACGTCTTTACAAAGAAAGCACCCAAAGGTCCAGTGGAACAGTTTTTCCAACATCCATTTGTACTAAATTTGAAAAGAAGAACTGGCCAATGTTACTGTTTCTTCTTGAGATCACAAGTAATTCTGCAGACAGAAGAACAGCTCACATTACAGTATTTTAAGAAACAGATAAAAATGTCACACTGTGCATCAACAACACTAAGAGAAGTGAAATTTTTTAAAACAAGTGTTTTGTGGTCTCATAGACTACACCTTAATACATAAAAGGATCAAATTAGAGAAAGTACAGAAGCATCACAAGTCCAACACTTTTAATCATTCATCAATTGGAGATTAATAGCCCTACAGGGAAGATGCCCAAGTTTTGTTTTGAGGCATAAGTACCAGCAAAAGGGCTTTGATTTTACTAACAACAAAAAAACCCATAGTTGTTGTACATTAGACTGGCAAACAGAATATAAGGAAGTTAAATATCCCCAACAATAGTGTCAAATGTCAAAGTACTACAAAATAGACAATAATTTTAAAGAAAAGAAAAAAACTAGCCTCCTAAAAGTTGACCTGATTACACTTTTTTTTTAATGGATAGTGTAAATACAGACAGAATAATTCAAGTCTGGAAAAATTTTAACACACCTCAGATTTGCTGACAACTTTTCACAAATCAACGTGGTGTTTTATAAATGCATGGGAAAAATCACAGACCTAAAGAACGAGGACAAGGCAATAAAAGCAGTTAGTATAGCTAATGAATGTGTAATTAAAGCATGGCATTCAGATGTGAGAACTTCTGGGGTCATCAGGCAGCAAGGTATACATAAGGATGTGCCAAGTGCTGGACAGCTGAAGAGACTTCCTGTTAGCTGGTTGCTATGGCCATCAGTTTTGCAAGGAGCTGGGGATTCTGGGCAAAAAGGCATGCCCTGTTGATCCTTAACTAATACTCACCCCAATACTCAGGGGGAAAATTTTTAGACCACATGTTAGGGAAGAGCAAGAATTCAGACTAACTTGAAAAACGTTTTGCTATATCAGGAGTTTCCTTTGTGCTTTAACTTCCAAGAATTCCAATGTCTGTAACTCAGAGTGATCTGATTGAATAACTTCTCAATGTACCTGCACAAAAGCTAACCTCTCCAGCATTTCAGCAGGGTCAGGTTAGGTTTTAGATACTTAATAAATTACAACCTGAGTTTTGTGTACAATCTCAGGTACAATATAACTCAGCATATCTACAATTTTTAAGCTCTCTGCTATGATAGAGATATTTATACTAGCTTTCCCTGTTCCCAGCTTTCACCTGCTGCTGTTTATGGAAGTTAGGGGAAAAAAGTAATTTATTTCATGAAGACAACAAATACAGTCTCTGCAGCAGAACTCTGTTTGGGAAAGGGTTAAATAGTAATGCTTTTGGAGTAAAAAAAAGATCAAGCTTTTTCAAAACCAATTTTAATTTACTTCATATTAATGGAATGCAGAAAATCTTGAGGGGGGTGGGGAGGGAGGGGAGAATCCATTTTTAATGTTTAGAGACCTGGCCTATACTGAACCATAACGAAAATTTACAGTTTGGAACTCCTCTCAATCTGAGACAGTGCCTAAAGATCAAATTCAAAGTAATCAGAGGAAAAACAAGCACAGAATAAACATTACAATTATAAAAACAAGGTCCTAACTAGTCACTTTCCGTTTTCACTGCTTTCTATAGAAGTTATGATAAGTTTCTGTAATTTGGCCTTACCTGGATAAACTCATTGTCCTTAGATTTGAAAACGGGATGTTCTTTTTACAGTAAGTAGCAAGTTCTGTGCTGTTTAGTCACTGTTTTCTTTCACCTAAAACTTTATAAATGATTTACTAACACCAAACAGCTCCACCAGGACTCTGGACCGAGCCACCTCATTATTCTGAGGGGACTTTCAGCATAACTGGATTACAGAATGCCACAAGACATAGCTTGAAACAATTTCAGTTCTTTCCATTTCTAGCTCTAACTAATCCATACTCTCCTTATTGACATAAAAGCCAACAATGAAAAGGAAACCTTTAAAAACATCCATCACCAGCAATTCTTCCAGCAAGCAGAAACAAGAATAGTTCCCTGTGTTCAGAGTACAATTGCTTGTCAACAAAGTGCCACTGTGCTAAAACACAGATTCAAACTGTTCCGAAACTACAGTGCACCCAGCATAAGAGCATCAAGTTTCTGCATTGAAGTGTAGTATCTCATGAGAAAAGGTACACATGATAGGACAGCCTCTAATTAGAATTCACACACAAGACTAATGTGGGATTGAACAACAGGTCTGGATAAAATTAAATAAAACCAGACAAGATTTGCTAGCTTATTTACTAAACGAAGGAAGCTGACTTGAAAAAGAAAGCCTAGCAAGCCCAAGCTCGCACTCTTTCAATAAGCAAGTTAGTCTAACTGCAGGGCTTAATGAGATGACATTACGCTCCAACACAGATAAGCAGTCCAAAGAACAGGTGACACTGCTTTTCAAATAAAACTTAGTCACTTAGTCATGAACAGAGCAGAACATCTCAGATTAAGTGCAAACTAGCTTTCTTAAAAGCATTCTATTTAACTCATTGTTTTCTTCTTTTGATAAATTTTCATTTGCACAGCAAAAATTACATATAGTTTATCTCTGAAGGACAGACAATCTCATAAACCACAAGAAGAGGATGAGGTGGTTCTAGAAGCTGCCTGTCATTCTCAATCAAGAACTAGACAGATATAACAAATTCCCTGTAAGTTGTATTGCTATTAGGCTGCAGAACACGAACATGAGAGAAGACATGCCAGGTGACACAATGGCATTAGCCCCTCCTCCTCCCAGTTACTCTTTTCCTCTACTGAAAGGTACTACCCTTATAACTGAATCAGAGTTTAAAAGAAAAAAACACACAAAAAAGGAGTACCTCAACTGCCTCAGTACAAAGTCCAGCACGCTAGCAGAGGCTGGAACAGAGCCTGAACTATCAGACTCTGCACTGCACTACAGCACAAGGGATAGCAATCTTCAGTAGGTTTCAAAGCCCTGCAGCTATCCGCTAAGTCTAAAACCTATTCAGAGCTCAAGTTCTCCTTTACGGTCAACCTCTCATGAACTACTGAAATGTACTTGTCAAATATAACCACATTTTGCAAGAGGCCAGATGACTTAAAAGTCCTGCCTCGAAAGTGCAAGTAAGTATGAGTTCTGGAAATTCACCATTAAGAAATCATACAGTCCAATTTTATTTCTTAGTGAGATTGCCAATGTGCAATCACCATGCACGTCAAGAGCAACTGATCCAACTGAAAGTTGGATCTTGAACTGCAGATGATGCAGATAAATATACACTCATAGAAAGGCTGCCACGAATAGTTGCTTACTATACAACAACAAAAAAGCCAAGAAGAACAGAAAGGACTGATTAGGAATTTACTTTTCACAAAATTAAGGCATTATGCATCTGCCACCATTAGTGTAACAGCAGGAAGATGACTGAACACTGTTCCACCTCTAAACATAGCAGCTTATATAGTGGAAAGCAAGAACTAGGTAAAAATGGAAAAAAAAATAGAGAAAATAGAATTCAGAAATCTTTAAGACTTCAAAAATCTAATAGAAATTATAGTTTTGATCTAAGAAGGCGAGGAAGTTATATGAAAGTCTCATCCCTGAGATACTCTATTTTAAATTGGATACTGAAAAAAAAAAAAAAGTCACATGGCTCCAGTGTAATTTCTTAGGATTAGAGGCAGCTATAAACACCCCTGTAAATCCAGGAGAGAAAAACACCTTTGAGAGTTCCGCAAAAACAGAACTTGTAAAACCATAGCACAAGAACATAAGTTCTTAAACCTTGGGACCTTGAAATTGAAACGTGCCATGAAGTTTTACCTAACCTCCCTTTAACAGCCTCTATGCTGAAATTGCAATAAACCAATTTTAGTCTCATTGCTGTACTTTGAAGACCAAAAAGTTTTCCATTCACCTGTTCTGTTCCTCAAGTTTAGCGAGTAATTCTAAGTCATCTGGACTCAGCTGTGTTGGTGAGGATGGTGATAATGCAGGTGTAGACAGAGTGGTAGAGGAGGATGTAGTGTGTAATGAGGCAGATGGACTTGCCACCTGACTGGCCATTTGACTGACGGTGTGTGACACAGTGTTCTTCACCCATGAGAGAGTAGAGCTCAGCTTTCCTGCAACCTTGTCTGTCGCCACCTGTGATGACAAAAAGAAGAGGATGCATTAGTTTTCTTTTTTTAATACCTTTTTTCAGTAAACCTGCTGCACTGAACAAAGGAAAAGATATACAATATGCATGAAGTGACATTGAGATTATTTTTTTTTTCCAGAACACCCAAGGCTGTCAGAAGCAACACAAGCATCAAGAGCAATACAATATTAGAGAAGTAGTAACATGCAAGTATACTGCTAATCCACAAAGAAAGACTCAGAGGAATTTCCAACATATACTCACAGAGCTCATTTCTGCAGTACAGAAATACCACAGGATCCAGGATCAGCTCAGACTTCCCATTACAAAAATAAATAGAAACAAAAGCTTATTTTAAAACATTTTGATAAACTAATAATGGCACAGAAACTGTAGAAAAATAGATACAGAAACTACTTGACTGATTGATGCTGAGCAGTACAAGTATACAAGCGTAAACACTCCAGCCCAACCACTGCTCACCTTCACTAATCCCCACAGTGGCAGGACAGAGAAGCAAGGGCATCATGTTTCTAATCTACACCAAAGCAAAAGATCCTCTAGCATCTGCCAGTGTGCAGAAAACAGTCAAAGAATTTATGCCCATGAATCTACAACAGCTCCTGAATGTCTTACGTTAAGGCCTCATCCGTCAGCTCTTCTCCGACCTCACTTTCTCTTCAGGTCACCCCTACACCAAGTGTCCTTGACCCCAGATGCCACTGCCAGCGCCTGGACAAGTCTGGGGTTTGGGAGGGGTCCTGGAGGAAAAGCGAGAGGTGCTACCAGAACAGAAGGGAGCTCTGAGCAGTCAGTCAGGGAAACTGCGGGTCCAGGAATGAGGATGTTAACTGAGGTTGATCATAATCTGCTGCTACTTCTTGACCAGTGTTATGGGGTAATGCAGCCCAACAGATCCATCGGTCACTAGAGAAGAAAGAACAGCAGCCCCTGGAGGTATTTTCTAATGAACCCCTCACTAGAGCTTCCTCCAGCAACTGAAAAAAAGTAAGAGGCTTTGACCTACAGTGATTCAGAGAGTTCAATTCTTCACTGGCCCAGCTTAGAGAAAATAGAGATGCACCTTACAGAAAGAGCTAGCTGCCTAGAAAAAGGTTAAAACTCTTCAAAACCAAGGTTGAAGAGGAACTTCCTTTGAAGCAGTCCTGCTGGCAATTATTTATTTTGACCTTTGCTGACTTCCTCAAAACACTGAATTGCTCAATGGTTGTCACAAACAATTCTGCAGTACAGATATACAATAATTGTGATTATTGTCTATACATTAATTATATACACACATATATAAATATTGTATACACAATAATTATGTATACAAAATATACAATAATTGCTAAGATACTAAAGACACTGAGCTACAGGAAAAGATCCCTTCCCAAGATCCTCTAACAGAATCTTATTAAAACAGAACTTCACCTGGAAAAAGTAACTCCATCCCAGTACACTGTGCATTTATCTGACACACAGTATATAGACTGAGTGACCGGTTGCTAAAGCAGAAGCTTTTACTTATATACAACTCTACAATGAACTTTTTTGTGAATCAAATGCACCAGTATTTTATTTTCAGATCACATTGAAAGAAACACACAGAATGCTTTTAGAAAACAAGAGGAACACTACAGGTCAATCACAAAATAGTGGTACTCAATCTCCCCACTTCCTCTCCACCAGCAACAGGACACTTCAGAGCTCTCCTAGAGGACTGTGAAGAGGTTTCCTATTTCCACATGCTTAAGATTCATTCCGGGAACTCCAGCAGATTTTGCTAGAAATCTTTAGATGCAGGGATACAAACCACTGGTGGGAATAGTAAGATCCCAATGTAAGCATCAGAAAGGTTCCAGTCTGTTATGTCACTGTTGGACAGGAAAGCTCAGGTATATCAATATGGGGTTTCTTTAAAAAAAAAAAAAACAAACACACCACATGATCTTTTAAAGACAGTCTTTGAAAAAATCACTTCCAATACAAGCATTTGACACCATCTTTTATACAAGAAAGGAATAAAAATTGCTAGAGGTTTCAAAATCTTAAGTTTAACACATGCATTAATATTTCACTCAGTCAATACTCTTTATTCTCTGTTGCTATGAAAGGATAAATTATTGCTGTTTCACTTTGAATAAAATAGCATTATGATAAAGGTCACTCGTACACCTCACTTAAGACTGATTATTTTCTCAAAGGCTTTAAATTGCTTAAAATACGACAAGTAATGCAACTATTCAAAAAATAAAGGCTGGCAGAAACAGGGCCAATCTTAACACCACAGCAAAAATGACTGCCATATGCAGCTGGTTTTAAGTGTCACCCAGCAGTGAATTTGAGTAACACCCTATGCTAGAGAAACAGGAAGAGAAAGTACATGATCAGTTTTTATCTCTTTACAAAGTCAAGTAACTAGGAAGACTTCAGGCAAAAAAGCAAATCCTAGCTGTGTCTGGCTTATACATTATGAGGTTCATACGCCACATTAAGATAGCTGAAGCAGGGAGTAGGGGACAGAAATCAAGAGTCTTACTAACACTCATTCACCAACACATCACTAGGCATTAAAAATTAATGCAAAGGTTTGCAGAAGCCAATTATGTGACGATTACCAAGAAAAAGTATGGTCAAGAAAACCATGTAAGACAGCAGTTAAATTGGAACGACGAGTCTAATAATATTACTGTTTCTAAAAGCAGCTCAGAGTTTCACTAGAATGTATTCAGAGAATTAATGCCCCCAAAAATATTCCTAGTCAACTACCTGAAAGCATTAAGAAATATAGCAAGCAAAAGCACAGCTGCAAAATGCAAATGTTTGAAGATCAAAAGGCTCACAGTGAAGTTTGTATCAAAAACACATGAAGAATTCATTTAGGGAAAAATAGCTACAGCAGTCACCCAGGGCCCAGCTAAATTAAGAAAAAAAATTCTGATCTAATAGCTAACTAGTCAACTCTAAGTCCTTTTGCCAGGCTTTTCCAGGGTTTCCTAAAAATCTAAAACCAGCTCTCTTAAATTGTCACCACCAGTGAAGACTCCTGGACCTAGACATGAAGGCATTTAACTATCAGTTCATTATCCATTTCCCTAAATAGGGCAGAGTAACAGGTTTTCCGTATCTCATCATTTCATCTATGTTAATTTCAAAATTTATATTCAGTGACAGAGGATTTCATAGAGTTATTCTTTGACAAGTGACTTAAGGCCTTCCAGAAAACAGGTCACTGGAATTTGAAAATGAGAAAAATCTTCCTAGGAGCAACACACCAGTATTTCTATCAACATGTGCACAGTGCTCCTACACTTGCCCTTCCAACTCTCTTTAATTCTTTATTAAAAGAATGGTAATCTCTGCTATGCGTCATAAGCTTTCCAACTCTATGAACACGTTTCCATCTAATAGGGTAGTCATACTTAGCCATCGCTAAACCACAGGCCACTGCTACTTCCCACCTTTCTGCTGACAATCCCGGTGACAAGAAATCTGTGTCCCACTACTAAGGTAATACATACATGTAATATAGAAGTGAATCCTACTGACTCTCACTACTATGACAATATACGCATGTAGTACAGAAATGAATCCTACAGACTCCCAAGAGATATGTACCTCTTTCCCCTGACAGCAGAAAGGAAAGAGCTAAAGGTTTCACTCTAGCCCCTTCAGAGAAACTGGGGCTCCCCCAACTAAAAATCACAGAGCTATCAAGTTGTTGAAATTAGTCCTTCTGCCTTTAGTTACACCAATGAGAAAAAAAAATCAATATGAATGTTGGCAGGTACTTTCACCGGGTATCACCAACTCCAGGAAACACAAGAAAATCTGTATGAGCATTTGGTTTAATACCTCCCTGCTTTAGGGATGTGGGTTTGCTTAACACAGTGTTCTGCAAGGATTCAAGAAAGCCAGTATCGTTAAACCTTTAATCTCTTCTTTGTATTTTTTGGACAGAGTCTTGTCAAGGCTTTCCTAAACAAAAGTTTATTTTAAAAACTGCCTATTATTTAACCAGTGATATTTCTGCAGGCCTGCAGCAGTGTCCTTTTGGCTACAACAGTGATGCTCTGCACTTCAGTTATGAAGTGTCCTTCCCTTTGCTACTCTTCATTATTGTGGAAGAGAGATCATAGTCAGGTGTTCAGCTGTTTGTAGCAGTACCAAGGACAGCCAGATACACCACAGTGCCCATCCCAAAATCTTTGCTAGGTCACAGAGATAAATCTAACTACACAAGATAGGACTTTTTGCCTTTGCCATCAGCCCCTCACTAAGCATACACACCTACGCTACCTCCCCTCCGTTCTGCCTTGCCTTACCTTACCGCTGAAGCACTCAGCTTGGGAAGCCGCCCTGCCTGGCACCCTCCTGCCCTACACCCTGCATGACGGGCAGCAGCCAGCTCAAGGCCAGACGTTGCTGCCCAAGTCCCAGTACTTGCCACATCTATGCAAGCTCTCCATCCCTTCAGCTAATCAGCTCAGGCTGGAAGTCCCCAGTTGACAGTATTCTTTGCTCAGCTCACCTCAGCCAGTTTTTCAACCATGCAAAGAGAAATGGCTTCCTTTTTATTTCCAGCATTTTTCAGATGCTGAAATTCAAGTCACATTTGAAGAGTATAAAAGGTAACCTACATTGCCTGGGAAGCACGCCAAATCATGGAGAGCACCATCAGGATGATCAAGCTATCATTAATTATTATTAATGTGCGATCAAAAACAGAGTCAAGCCATTTTAAAAGCGTGCTTTTTTCTCCCCAGAGGGATCTCACTCAAGAATCTGTCAATTAATCAGACTTTGAACACAAATGCTGCTCCTGGCCCACTGCCAGGGACACCAACACTTTCCACTGAAGATGGCCAGGTCTGGAGACAAGCAGGCATGGGTACACTTTCTTTACCCTTTGCAGGAGGACATACGGAACTGAGAAGGCATCATCCAGCTCCAAACCAGGTATATTCATTCAGGCTCCAAGCCATACTAACAGCTACATTGCTCCCAGTTTGCCAACAGACCAAGAGCACAGCAAGAGTTCATTTGCATCTGCCTGCCTAAGACCACATAGATACCTCCTAAATAAATGTGTGAATTTTGAGTTTGAAAATACTGATCTTCAAAAAGATGAGAGGGACAGGACTTAACTACTAAATACCTTCTACTGTGCTGCAGTTTCCAGTGAGCAAAACAGAACTACCAGCAATTCTCATCCATCTGGTAAGTCACTAGGCAAGGCACAGACCTGCCATGTAATTTAAGCTACTGCAAAGATAATAAATGTTTATATTGATATCACAGACAGATATATAACATTCAGTATTTTAAATGGCACATATAAACTGCACATCATATGTATCTCAGCTTTATGTTTAGTATTTTTAATCTGCTGCTGATTACAGCGCTTTAGTACCAAGACAAAGTACAACACTGTGTTTACATTTTTGAGTTACTCAAAGGAATACTGCAGTGGAGCAGCATATGAAATACTTTAAGTAAGGCTAGCTGAAGGTAGACCGCAGCATCCCACATTACATACAATTACATAAATTCTTTTCCCTGAGAATCCCAAGATACTGTGCAGCACCTTACAGCAAGCCCAAAAATGTTACCACCACATATTTTTGCATTTGCCAGACAGACAATATTTGTTTTTCAAAAAAATCTATTTAGATTTCTTTTAAAAAGGTATTTCACAGTACACATTCAATTAGCCTAATACCTATATTCTGCATTTCCCTGAGGAAAATCTGTAATAAAGTTAGTTATCTTGATTATGCAAAATACTACCTCAACTATTCTTATCATGTGATAAAGTAGAAATAACTCCAAGCCTCACACAAACACTACTGTATATATTATATGCTCCCTACTCTTTCTTTTCTTCCTGAAGAGAGAAAGAGATGGGAACTTCCAGAATACAGGAATCTTCATACTATTCACATATAAAAAGAAGTCTCACATAATTGGCGCTGAAATTATATATGTGGTTTTGAAGCCAGTTATATAGCATTCCATGGACACAGTCTCCTGCTTGGTTCAAAATAGTTAATAGCATTCTAGTATCTGAAGAATGAAATTAAACTGACTCAGCCAAATGACATATGCAGGAGAGGTAGCTGGTGAATCAGCCTGTTATCATGCTTCCTGACAAGCTAAAAATCCTCATTTAGGGCTCAAACATGGCTTCACTATAAGTTTCATTTATATCCTTTACACTACAAATTCATATAACTGATTTCTGCTGAAGTCTGAGGAAACAGTCCTGATTTATTCTCACATCCCTGATTTCTCTTCTAATATCACTTAATAATAGTCAGGAATATCGTGGCTAGCATTCAGCAGCTTCCATCGCACTTGATCCTCACTAGGTCTCCAAGTCTTTCTGATACAAAGAGTAAAGCAGTCTTAACATTTCATTTTGTGTTAATCTTAAGCCATCAGAAAGCTTTCTGTAGTATCATTTATCAAATACACATTCTTTAAAAGTAATCTTCAGACTCTAAGATGTTGGGGTTTTGATGGTCCCAAAACATCTGAAAGAAGAAGTTTGAAGCTGCAAGTTCACATACACAACATAGCAATCTAATACATACGGTGTTTTAAGAGGGTACCTCATCAGAAATGTAGTGATCCACTAAAGGTTGAAACACCATTGCTCAAAGTCATATGAATGACATTTCAATCAAATTGCACTGAATTCTATTCATTTCCAAGAACAATTCCAGGTTTTTAATTACCTCTGAAGTCCAGTGTGGTTTACAACCTGTCAAGCACTGTCCCAGTATGTTAGCCAAGACAAACCACAGTGCTTTTGCAGACACTATCTCCTGTCCATCTAAAAACGGTCCTTTATCAAACAAGTTTCAAATCTGACATAGGAATGTAACAACCTTCAGGAAACCATAGAGACCTTCTTTCAAGGGGAAAAGAATTAGATACAGCACTTTTGTACAGAAGATGGCTGAGAGCTCCTCAGAGCTGCAAGAGAAAATACTGAAGGACTACAGTAACAACCTTTAACAGAGAACTTCCTTTGTTTCTTTGTTCTCTTAGACCTGGGTTTGGAAAACATCTTTGTATTTGAGGTTCAGCACGCCAAGATACACAAATGTATACTTGAAGGATCATCCCCTTGGCTAGCAAAACAGAGGGAATAATCAAGTTAATCAGCTAAAATAAAGAACAACTCCTGCAAAGTCAGTTTGTTCATGTACTAGATTGGAAGATTTTATTTTTTTTTTTTAAATAAAATGCAACTCGATCATTTCCCTGGAGTTCAAGTATCAGCAGCCATTTACAAAAAAGCAACACACACTGAAAGACACATATGTTTATCATTAAAGCTCCCTTCCACAAATTTTACTTTCCTATTCATTCCCCAAAGCCTAGCTTCCTTAATGTTGCTTTTAGCCAACTTCCTCCTGGAAAGGAGCCAGGACTAGCATCTGAACTACATTAGCGCAAAAACAAACACAGACAAGTATATAAATGCAGTTAAATTTACTTAACAGCCTTAGGTCCATACTTTGGAAGTGAGAAACAAGTTAGTCATTTTTAAATGTTCACTGAGCCTTAATTAAAATCAATGTTTTTAACACAACTCTTCATTTAAAAATTATAGAACATTTGCAAGGAATTAAATTGGTAAGTTTAAAAGGATCCAGTACCTGACAACATAAAAACATACCATACCGTTGTTTGTAGGTACTGGCAGCCCAAGTATTTTCTACATGTAACTCTCCTTGTTTATAGAGATGAGATAAACTTATGCCACAATCTACAGCCTAGAACCAAAATGCTCACCTCCCATTTACCAAGTTGTGCATGGCTCCCTTTCCAAAGGGACGTAACAAACGAGACTTGATGGAGAAATAGAACATATGCATGTCCTTATGGAATATGGTAACACTTGAAACTTTATTAATTACTTACTAGAATTTTAAACAAATTAGGTGACAGACGTTAGTAAGACCCTACCTTCAGCATATTACTCTCCTTTACATGATCAGCTAAAAGGTCAACTTTCTCTCAATTACATTCAAATTCAAAGTAGTAAACCAGTTTCTAAATGACTGACTGGTAACCAGCTTCACTTGTGAGCTACAAATTCATTGCAACCCGCAGCTGCTGACAGAGAACAAGAAATAAAAGGTAAAAGTTTTAGAAGTGAGAAGTGTAACTGATTTAGTAATTTCCACACAGTAAAGCTGTCCAAGCTGTTCAGTAAACACAGCAGATCTAAACACAGATGCATACATCAATAGTCAGTTCTTTTAACACAATCCATGCCAACATCTGTGGTCTCACAGTAACATTTAATTTTGCCCACCAATTTCCTTAGTATACCCATGACTTGTCCTCACAAGCACTTACAGTGTAACCTGAAGCAAGCATATTTTTGTGGCTATAGAAGAGCCTTCCTCCACGCTACTGAAGTCTGTAACAGTACTCCTGAAATCTTTTCTGAGCACAGCACTTCAGAGACTATCTTTCCTCAGGCATTGAAAAAAGAAAAGGGAGACGGCTCTTCAGAGAAATTACATATCTACTCACCATCAAATGAAATCAGTTCTTTTCTCATTAGTTGACTACTGACTTCCATGCTTTCAGTTGGAAATAAGGGCCTAGTTACTTCTTTCAAAATGGCCTACTAGTGGAAAAAGGCAAGGAAGATCAGTGGAACACTAACTTTTAATGCCAGTCTGACACCAAAAAGATTACGTAAAAATCCCAAACTCATTCTATCATGGTCTGTAGGCGTCTTGTTATAGAATTTTAACTTGCCTTTGTCATTTTGTCTTTAGGAATACTGACCACAATTCTTTTTCCAAAGGGCTGAGAAATATTTACTAAAGCTTCAGCCAAACCCATAAAGTTCTACCACTAATGCATTCCAAGAGAGGAGGGAAAACAAAAGTTTACTTTGCTTAATGAATATCAGTTTTTAGCTCTGCTGTTTCAGAGATCATGGAAGTTGGAATTTCTTTTTACTATGCCTGAAAGTAGTTCACTGCTTGAACTACATATAATCAAGAAGATACCTGAAAAACAAGAGATGTAAAACTAACTACTTCTATACAATGTCACTCTATACAGTGATGTGGACAGTACCTGCCCAAAATGTTAAGTTTTGGCTAGCTACTTGTTTTTGACACTCATTTTAAGCGACGTTCAATAGTTTTATCCTTCTATAACCAAAACAACAGTAAGCTCTAACAATCTCTTAGTTGGAAGTGCACCATCAACCTGTGGCTGGTCCCATCTGCCAGTCTGATGAAACCAAATTAGAAAACCCACATAGTTAATACAGTACAAGATACTGGGAAGTCAGAACTCTGTATCATCATAATATAATTATACTTTAATTTTTTTTAAAAAAAAGGGATCAAGAACATGTTGTGATGTCAAAGAGGTATTCAATGCTATGCTAAGAATCACTAAGACCTAGTCATGACAACAGGGCATAAGAGAACTCAGGAGTTTGAGAAGTTCAATAGTTTACCACATACTAGAACGCATTATAACAACCTGTTACAA